CATTTCAGTTTCCAGAAGAGAGAATGCACTATCAGTCTTCATATAGAAGTAAATTATTTCAAATTCTATGCACGTAAAGGAAACATACAGTATCTACATGTTCACATTGTTATGAGGAAGCTTATTATGCTTTTCAACTGCTAGTAGGTCAGACAAAATTACCTTTACTAAGGAATACAAATTTTGCTTAATGAGCATTTGAAAAGCCTGTAGATTACACAGTATTTTCATCCTTTCATTTCTTTCTCTTTCACCTATCTTCCTCCCACATATCCTAGTCTTCTTTTGGATTCTATTAGATTGTTTTCTGTTCTCTACTTCTTCTGCTTGATTATTTCAAAATAAGTTTTTATTTTTGTATTTTTTATTTATTTATTTTATCTTTTTAAGATGGATTGCAGTTGTATTCTGCTCATCATAAGCTATTTATTGTTCCAAATGTGGTTTTCCCTACTGGGTAAAGTGAATCAGAAAAGCAAAGCACTCAAGCTATTTCTCCTGTGCCATTTTCCTGGTTTCTGACAAGACACAGGAATCTTTTCTGTGAAGAATGCATTATAAATTTGCAAAGTGCATTTTATAATAAAAAATCATTTTATTTTCCCTAAAATAAATAGACACTGTCTCTGTCTTCAACAGGTGCTGTGTGAGTGCAGAAATGGAATTTAGATTCAGTTTCTCTCAGCATTATATTTCCAGAACACCAATTGTTGTGAAACAGAAGCACTGAAAGGCAGTAAAAGAAGTGGTTTTGGGAAATACAAGTGGGCTTTGCTTTCACTGTAGTAATGAGAAGTTACTTTTTGAAATTATTTTTATTTTTCTTCTTTCTGGCTATCTTTTGTGGCCCAGTAAGCTAGAAAATAAACAGAGATGACAGTCTTTAATGCACCCTGGTACTTTCAGTTCTTTGAAAATGAAGGAATGTTTCAAATTGAATCCAGGGCAAATGCAAAGACACCCAAATATATAAAACACTGTCATGAATGTCATTAGCAAGAACATTACTTAGAAAAAACTCAGGAAACCTGCCCATTTAGAGAGGCAGGTGGCTACGTAGTATCTGTACAGATGTAGTTGACTTTGACGAGCAGTGTGGCAGAGAACAATCAATCAAGCAGTTGCAGCCCATACTGACTACTGTGGCCTTCAGGCACTAGAAGATGTTACTCTTGCCCAGTTGCAGGATGCTTGAAGTCAAACCTCAAGATCTTACAGGAAGTCCTCCAAAACTCCTTGAGAGACTCCCTCCTTCCTCTCCCCTTTTCCTTGCTCCCAACCTGTGTTCATCCTCTGAGAGATGGGTAGCTATTTCTCCTCTTTGCAGTTACAACAAAAAAAACAAATACACTCTGAAACGACTGTGCATGTAGACTGCAATAAGTAGGTGACATCTTCAATTCTTGAGATCTGTACTTGCTGGAGTACTGCAGGAGGACACATCCATTACCCATTTGTATTCCCTGTGAACACTATCATAAGGAAGGGCACTGTTCTCATGCCAAGCTGTGTGCATAGAGCTAATGCATGCTGCTAAAACCCATGTTGCAACAAAATGCTTGGCTCGGTCCACCTCTCGTGCAACTCATACTTCATTAGTTTTAGCAAATGATTATCTCCATCTACCATGTTCAAACTGATTTGTTTTTGGTAGGGGTGTAGAAATAATCCCAGCTTTTATCACAGATTATTCCAGAACTGCATAGAAGTCTCTGTTCTTTAATCCTTCACTTCATTGTACCTAATGTTGTCACTTACAGCTGTACAAAAAAGCAGTATAATTCTGCTTTTAAGCTCCAGATCTGTACCCATCTGCTTCCATTGAAGTGTCCCTCTAATACAAATTGCAATAATCTGCACTTAAGGCCCAGTGTTTTTTGCTGGAATTTGGAGAACAGCTAAGATTTGAAATTAGCCAGTCCAAGTCCATATCACTTTCTTTGTGCTCAGAGAAAATAACTATTACATTTGCATGGATAGATTCACCTTGCTTTAGGGAAAGGCAGAAAGCAATTCAATAATGATAGCAAAAAATGTGGTAGATGTCAGGAACTGACAGTTCCCTACTTACTTTCTTTTGCTATTTTGGAAACTCCTAAAGCAATTTATAACTGTTTCTTCAGTCTGATTTGCCTTTGGTAAGAATAAGACTATCTAAGATTTTCAAAACATTTTCCTGGAAGATCTTTTGTATGAGCTTCACCATTTCAGTGTTCAGGCTATGTGCATATCCAGGGCCAGGAGAGCAAAAAAGCTGTACCCATTTTCAGCTTATGCCACGATCCAGCGTTTACCTTGAACAGTACAGAGTATTACCACCCCTAGGTCAGTCCAGGAGCCTCTTTCCAACAGTTGGTAAAAATTCCATTCTTCACGAGAAAATTTGCTAGCTGCTTAGCAGAGCACAATGCATTTGCAGAAAGAAGAAAAGCAAGATTGTGGGTACCTGAAGCTACAAAAGAGGGTCTTTTACACAAATCAGGAATGTGGCTGATAAGCCGCTTGTAAAATTTGGATGGCTGAGATGGTTATGACCCAGTACTTTTTTAATTGCCAAAACAAACCAACCAAACACCCCACCAGCCTTTGTGAAGATAAAGACTTTATCAAATGCAAAGGCATTTTATGTATCCTTTACCCCAGTACACCACATCCAACTTTCCTCCTGATACAGCTGAGCCAGACCTTTTCTACCACTTGGTATCTATCTGCCTGCGTCAATGATGTGGGGTGGATTTGACCCTGCTTGTGTCATGTTTCATACTAATATAAGGATGGGGATGGCCAAATGAGAGTTTGCTTTTAGAGCCTGCATGCCCTGAGTGTGGGTTGACTTCACTGCTGGAGTTTCCTAAGAGACGGACCATCTGGGCTGTCCCCACCCTGCTCTCTTTTGTGCTGGTTTTTGCTCTCCTCTTCTCTTGCAGTATAATGTTCATGTATGAGCTACTTTTGACTGAGGATGAATTAGATCACTGTGAGCAAAGCAGGGACTAGATTTGCTCAGTTTGCAGCATGGTAGTTTCAGTCCTTGGTGATGAGCAGAGATGGTTGTGAGACATGTTTTTTGGGACCATTGAGGCACTCAGTTGAGATTTTACTCAAAATCTCTATCAGGAAACAATATAGGAACTGAAGCTACAAAATTCCAGATATAAACTTCCTTCAGAGTTTTCAGCCTTATTTAGTTTTGGCTTTGTCTCCAGTAGTATGGAGGTCTTTCTGCTGGTAAACCGTTAGATTTCCTAGTCCTTATATCTGTTCCTTACAAGGATTTCCCTGCATTTTGCTCTAGATTAGCTTCACACCAGGCTAAGAAAAGTTCTCATGAGAGTTGCTTATCAGCGAATCTGCAGAACCAAAGTGATCAGTGATGTCAAGAAGGATCATGGGGAGAAGGTGGGGAAAGTTGTTCATAACGCTGGAAAACATGTTTTCGGTCATGCTGAGGACAGAAGCCACTTTAGAGCTGTCCAAAGGAGAAGGTGGCACTTAGAGGAAAAAAAAAAAAAAAAAAAAAAAAATAAAAAATAATGTTTACAGCTTTGTGATGAGGCAGAACCTTTGGTCTCTTTATTCTTCTGTATTTACATGGAATTTAAATAGAATATTGGTTGATCTTAGTTTTAATCTGTTGAATGATTTTGGATCCCTTTCTTTCTTTAACCTAATAGAAAAACAAACCCATGTGCATAAGCTGCAAGTCAAATGGCCTAAACTTTTATGAATGTCTTCTATTCTTGAATTTTCTTACAGCTGTGGTTCTTGAAGGCTCACTTTATTCATCTACCTGCTTTGCAGCAGGGGCCTATTCACATTTGGTCTTTGATTATAACTTTGTGATTTAAAGGTGTTTTTTTTTTTTTTTTTTTTTCCCAGTCAAGATTGTTATTCTTCTTTCCTCCTCACTTGTTCTGCAGTTTTTTTGAATCCATCATTTTTCTACAGTGAATATATGAGATAGCATTAGGTATCTGAAAAAATCACAACAAAGAGAGAAATTACTTGAAGAGGTGGGATGCTTTATTTCCGTGCCATTAAAAAATCCTAAATTATGTATTTCAGCTCTACGCATTAAAAAAAAAATCTGCTATTTAAGAAAAAGTAGAGAAGAAGAAAGAAAGAGAACATCATCCTGAGGAAAAAAATGCCAAAAAAATCATTTTTTTTTTTTTTTAGTTTGGTCTGAAATCCCATTCTACTGTTAAAGATAAATGTGCCAGAAGAATTAAACAGCTTCAGAAAGACCTTTAGCTGTGCAGGGAAAAAGCGAGTCTTGCTTGGACAAGAGATTCACTGCTTACATTCTCTGTCTGATTGAGCATTTCATCTGCATTTTCTCTCAGTCATCTACCAAAATGTGTCTTAAAACATCAGGGTGTATAGAGGGATCCTGTTTGCAGAGAGTCTATTTTGCTGTTTAAAGATGTTCTCCTGTTTCAAAGATCATTACACACCCTGAGATTATCTGCTAGCACATTTAGCCTGTGAGTCTTCAATGCCCTGTGGCTGCAGCCAGCCTTTCAGGGGGCTGCAGAGTCCTTCCAACCATCTCCTAACCACCTAAAATTTTCTTTGTGATTAAAAGTCACTATTTTTTTCTTTTGTTTGTGTTTTTGTTTGTTTGTTTGTTTTGTTTCTTTTTGGGTAACCCAGACACGCCTTCTTTCCTTTCTTAATTCTGCTTGCAGACTCTTCTCTTTCTTTCTCCTTTCTGGCCCTAGTAGAAAGCTGATAGCAACCTGGCCCTCGTAAGGATTTTTATTTTTTTTTCCTATGTGTATGTATAGATATAGATATAGATATAAATTGGAAAGCACAAAACATTCTTCCTGGAGTACTTTTGAACTTCTCCTTTTAAAGAGTCAGAGTGAAAGTGTGGCAAAAACCTTTAACTGAAAAATGCAATACCATAACTTTCACATTGCTAGTACATAATGTGTGAAGTGTGAAGTGTTGTTCTCTCTTTTCCCAATGTGCTCTCTCTTTTTCTAATGCAGGCTGGATTGCCATTTTGGGAGCCATTTGGCTGCTAGTGCTAGCAGACATCCATGACTTTGAGATGATATTAAACCGAGTGGAATGGGCAACCCTTCTTTTCTTTGCAGCATTGTTTGTTCTCATGGAGGTAAGATTTTGTGATTTCTAAAGCCTGAGCAGATAGAACCAGCTTAAAACGTGAATTTTGAGGACATGTATGTTGCCAGGCAAAGATGTCTTGCAGATTCAATTCTGCTAACAAAATGAAAATTGAATGCAGTCGCAGTAGTATGGAGTGAAACGGTGGAGTGGTAGAAGCCAGATATTTTTGACTAATTTTTCACTGTAAGCTTGGTCCTACTCTCCTTCTGCTGCATTTGCTGTGCACATCCAACACAATCATTTTCCATAAGTGGAATTTTTGTTTCCAGGTTTGTCTCTGCTCCATTCATTCAGGTATTTTATATATTTATGTATTTATTTTGAAATTCTTTAGACAAGCAATAGAAAAAATAAAAGAGCAAGAATAAACCATAGCTGAAAACTGCTTCTAATACTGTCAGCTACATGCTGGTTACCAAATGGCCTGAGAGCTTTCATGGGAGGATGGTTTGAAAGGATAATATCACTGAATTTCAGTTTCCAGTTGTAATTGCAAAAGATTTTTTACTTGAGCTGTCTGGATATCTCATTGTGTCATTTTTGTGTGTTTGTCTGTTCTAATAGTCTTTTTGATCCAGCCATGTTTTATACTCCTTTTTTAATATTTATATTTAATATTATTTTTAATTTTTATATTTTTACATTAAATTATATAAATTTAAAATAATACAATAATACAATACAATAATATAATACAATATATTTATATTTACCATTTAATGTTTTTGATTCTTTGTTTTACTGTTTGATGTATTTGATTTAGTGGATTTAGTTTTACTCCAAATGTTTGGAGAAATCTTTGTATGAATATCCGTATTTGTATGTCAATAAGGTGTCTGTGCATTTCCTAAAATATTTGGTATTTCTTAGTTGTTACTTTTTCCATTTAAATGATGTTGTTAAGTTGTAGAAACATGATTGATAAAACAAGAATAATCACTGGGTAGTGAATTTTCTTTGTGAGTAGTCTGGGAAAAGCCTAGAATAACAAATTATCTTGCACAGCTTTCCCCCTACTATACACTCCAGTATTGGAAAAAACACAGACTTTGTAAATTGGGATCTATAAAAAAACAATTTATTAAGAAAAAAAAAAAAAGGGACTAAATTTGAAGCAAATACAAGCATTGAATAACTCAACTAAATCTAATTAATTCCAAACTGGAAGTTAAAATCTGGTCACCTCTGAAAAGATGAATAGGCACTCTGATTATCATTAGGAAGCTTGTTTGAGACCTAGTAGGTCTAAAATTCATCAAGGAAATACTGATGTATCGCACACTTATTAGCACAGGCAATTTTTAGTTCTGTGTTATCAGGTTCTATATATCCTTGTGTTTTCTAGCTCTCATAGGGAATCCATACTGAAGCCATTTTTATTTTGTTAGCTGCTGCTGTAACAGTCTATTAGTTGCATTCCCTGACGTATTTATTGTTTTAGCTTGAATTGAACAGTTTTGATTTGAGTGCAGTCTGACTGTACAATAACATAGTAAAACACACAGGAAGTTATTTGCCATTTACTGCCAGACTTCAGATATGACTGCTATAATTCACTGAACTTCAGTTCTTCACTTTTATGGTTTCTCAGGTCACCAGTGAATAGTTTGCTAATGAAAGAAAAAATTTCCTGGCTCTTAGTATAACAGCAATTTATAGTCATGAAAGGAACTTATCCTGGGAGTCAAGAGAAAAAGTGGGAGACAGTATATTGACAGCAGTCATCATGACATACTGCCCATAAAAGGGTTTGATGCAGATTTGTGTGCATAAAGTTCAGTCTAAAATGTTACATGATTTTTTTTTCTGCAGTAAAGCTCTAATCTCGAGCTGTCAAACTGGAAATCATATGCTGGAAGGCACCAATTAGTGCAGTAATGCTTATTCCTCTCAGAGGACACAGGAAGATCCAGGAGACCCTCTGTGCAGTTTACATCCTGGGGAAGCCAGTGGCATGGTACTAATTGCTGCCTTTCACTTATGTGCTTGCAGGCAATAAGTCTGGATATTATAGACATTTTAAAGTTTGTTGTGTGATTAACACTGTCATCATACCCAACATGATGAGCTACCTGCAGAATGACTGTCTTGAAGGAGCAATGTGCATGTCTTTTACTCACTTCCCTCTTTCCTGAACATGTCTTCTGTAGTACCATGTCTGGATTCCAGAAGAAATTTTGGGTGATACTGAAAAGAAATATGTTGTGTTGATGGATAATTAAATAACAAGGCAGCACTGCTAACCAAATGTAATGCTTAGCTCTGCTTGCTGACAGCTACGTGAGAAGCTTATTTTAAGGTGTGAACACAAAGCAATTGCAGAAAAGAAAAAAAAAAAGACAATATTACTGCTTTTACATACATTTTAAAAATCACTTTGATAAATATTGAGTTAATGTGGGTGGAGAACTCATTGAGAGCAACCCTGCAGAGAAGGACTTGAGGGTTCTGCTAGACAAAAAGCTTGACATGAGCCAGCAGTGCACACTTGCAGCCCAAAAGGCCAACTGCATCCTGGGCTGCATCACCAGAGGAGTGTCTAGCAGGGCGAGTGAGGGGATTGTGCCCCTCTGCTCTGCCCTTGTGAGGCCCCACTTGGAGTGCTGCATCCAGGTCTGGGGCCTCCAGCACAAGAAGGATGTAGAGCTGTTAGCGTGGGTCTGGAAGAGGCCACGTGTAAGACCAGAGGTCTGAAGCACCTCTCCTATGGAGAAAGGCTGAGAGAGCTGGGGCTGTTCAGCCTGGAGAAGAGAAGGCTGAAGGTGACCTAACTGCAGCCTTTAGATTTTTAAAGGGGTCTTACAAAAAAAATGGAGAGCAACTTTTTGATCAGGTAGGCAATGATAGGACAAGGGGGAATAGTATTAAGATAAAAAGGGGAAATTTAGATTAGATGTTAGGAGGAAGTGAGGCACTGAAACGGGTTGCTCAGAGAAGCTGTGGATGCCCCATCCCTGGAGGTGTTCAAGACCAGGCTGGATGAGGCTCTGGACAATCTGATCTAAGGGGTGACACAGGTAGCTTAGAATCAAAATAGTAACTTAAGAATATAAAAATGTATTTGTTAAAGCCATGAAAAGTGTTATTATTTTTTAATGTAAAGGGTATGTGTATGCATCTTAAAGCTTTATCATCTGTTTTCTGAATGCAGCATTTTTAAATGTAGATGTACCTTTTCCCATGAGACGAGTTGTTAAAAGTAAATACAGTCTCTGGGTCATATTTAATATGTGGCACTACTGGCTCTGCTCTCCTCCTTGTTTTCCTTCTCAATGGGATGGTGTTCACTTAGAACTTCTGAGTGAGACATCCTGTCTTTTATGAGATACAGCTGCCCTGCCTTTACCTATACATCTGCTTTTACTCATGTGGCGAGTGGAAAACTACCAGCCCAGCCATGGTATTGGTGCTCCTGCAGCATGTGGGTGCTGCTGCCCTGTGCTGCTGGTGGTACCCAAACAGTTACACACTGCTGCCCAACTGAAGAATTGCTGGTCTCAATGACAGCCCCGCTGTCACTCTGTCATTACTATGTCTACTGTGCCACACTACTCGGTACCTATTAGGATCTTTGTCTGTCTCTGTCATGGGATTTGACAGTGTGTGAGTTCAATGCTGTTTTTTTCCCCCCAGTGATGTCTCTGAAGAGCTCTGTCTGACTGCCCGCTGTGCAGGTTGCACAGCATCATGCCATGTGAATGCTGACTTCTTCAGCTCTGTGTGGTGATGCTCTCAGGCTGCACAGTGTTGCATCTAACTGATTCATTGTCATGGCAGGAAAATGGAAAGTAGACTAACCACCTTGGTCTGGGCTGCACCAAAAATGATGCGATTTTCTTCCCCGAGATACTGAAAAGTCAAAAAATAGATGTACCTCATTCAGCCTGGAAATAGTGCTTCATTCTGAATAAAACAAAATCAACATAAATTGAAGTCCCTTCTGAGATAAATTTACCCCCTTACCTTGTGTTTTGAAGGAATAGATCATACTTCTGGTGTGAGGACTCAGTTTGCCTTTGACTCCTATCTGCCCAAGGAGAGAACAGAACCAGAACCACTGGGCTGGAGTCTTGCTATGTCTTTTCATGCCTGGTAGTAACCATGGCTGTCTGGGGTACTACCCAAGTATCCCTCACAAATGGGAATAGTTCCCACAGGGAGGACAGGGCACTGTGGAACAGATTGTCCCCTGGCCCAGTGGTTACAGGGCTCTCCTTCTCAGGCTGGATGCTTGACGTGGGCATCGGGGAGCTGCTTTTCCTGTCTTCTAGGTGCTGCTGCCTCTGTGCCAATTTTCATTCACCCAAAGCCTCTGGCCTGGTTTTAGCAGATGGGTAGTGTTAGTTTTTACAGGTGCGATGCAGCTGCTTAACAGAAAAATAAATTTTGTTTTCTATTTTCCTTCACATAGTCCTGAGCACAAGATGCCTGACCTTTTAAATATGATACACTTCTGTCTACATTGTGGTTATGTCCAAGGTTTTGGGGCCACTGAATAAAAGTCAGTTGTCCTCAGGTATTCAGGAAAACTTGTTCACTGAAGAATGTAATCTTGACATTTCAGCCATTCTCTGATGCCTTTGCCCCAGGCTCTTGAAGCAATCCCACTAGTCTTTCCACTACAACCAGCCCACTTCTGCAAATACAGCTACCATTTCTGTGTCTGTTCTTTCCACCAACTGCAAAGTTGCTGTAAAAGCTGCAAGAGATGAATTTCAAGATCTTGTGAATAGAAATGAATTGTGTATGCTTACATCTACTGAAAAAATGTGGCTTCATCAATACCTCACTAGCTGATATCATTGTCTTTTTTTAGGCTTTGGCTCATTTGCATTTAATAGACTACATAGGGGAGCAGACAGCTTTGTTAATAAAGGTATGTTTAAAATATTGACAGTGTTTTTCAGGTAAGGAAAACAGTTGTACTCTAATAAAATACTAAATAATATTTTTCTCTTGGAATTTTATGTTAAATATTATATTTCTACATCAGTAATATTGAGAAGGTATATCATATTTTTGGGTGGATGATATTTCAGTGTGTATCTATGGGCAGAAGAAATGTTGCCATAAGTGCAAAAAGGAAGCCTTTTTTTTACAGCCTGATAAACAAAAAATCCCAAGGTGCAAACAAATATAAATAGTGAAAGGGGAAAACTTGCAGTTACACAGTTAATTTGAGTATTAGAAATATCAGTCTTTTAATTTCTATTTGTTCAAATAGCCTTGAAAAAAAATAGTAATTTTGTTACTAAATGCCAGGCTATTTCTTTACAAAATGCTTATTCTATCTGAGAGCCTGAAGAAATAAAAGATGTTGATAAACTAAAACCATGAAGACCCTGTGTGATTGTGCCGTTAGGGGGACAGAGCAATACTGATCTCGTCAAAGTTGTAAATTAACCTCTTTCAATTCCAGGTTGTTCCTGAAGAACAGCGCTTGGCGGTAGCCATCATTTTAGTGCTCTGGGTGTCTGCTTTGGCCTCGTCCGTGATTGACAATATTCCGTTCACAGCTACGATGGTAGGAGTCGATACAGGTTTGATGTTTCCTCCTCCTGGTGCTGGGAAGGGAGCTGAGCCTGCTGGTTACAATTTGCTTTTTTTTTGACCTCTGCTATGTTGTAATTTACTTTATTGCCTGAGACTCCATCATTATTACAAACTTACTCATGTTCTTTAGATGTCTAGCTGGCCATTGCTGCAGTTGTCTGTTGAACTAGTAGCTGCATTTGTAGTTGTCTGTTGAACTAGTGCACTGTTTTAGCTGCATTTTTGCACTTTCCTTGTTATATCAAAATAGATAGCTGAAAAATAAAATAATCTTTTGAATGGAAACTGTCATTATCCATCTACTTCTGTTGGTGTTTTCCCTCTATTTGCAATGTAGTTATGCAATTTTTTAAAATACTTGTATAACCTTTTATAACTTCCACAAGTTATTAATTCAAAAAACAGCAAATAATATTAAATATAAAAAGTGTTTTCAGCAGCTGATCCTAAATATCAGAAAAGTATCAAATTATAACAAATTAGGGCATGGTCAGATAGATTTATTCAATCAAGACCTGTATTTAAAGTGCAGTAATTCCTTAATTATGCCATAGGAATGATTCACTGTTACAGCATGTAACAAAAATTCAGAATTTTTTGGTGCTTTTTTTTCTGCCATTGTCATTGGGTGGCCATGTGCACCCTTAGCTTGAGTCAAGAGTTAAGACGCTTCCTACAGGGCATATGACAGGTTGGATGGATTTGCAACTATATAATTATATGCTAATATGGTATTTTGGTTTGATCACCATGGTGTTTCCTGTGGAATAATATTGATTTAACAACAGACTGCAAGCAATATGTAGTAGGCAAAGGCTGGTTCAGGATGAGTCACCTCCCAGCAAACACTTAAGGACAATTAAGCAATAATGCAAAAATCTTAGCTTAGAAGGTTTTACCTCATATCCAGCTAGTCTATAAAAATTGGTTTTGAATAATAACAAAAAGCATCTCTATGCACATAGACCAAAAGGACTTTTAGAGATTTTGAAAGCAAACCTCTTTTAAAGACTGTGTGTATCGTGGAATGGTACTGAAACACAGGAGTCTTTTGGGTTGTAGACCATGGCTTTTGAATCTTTGAGGGATGTAAATACAGGCAGACAAGAAACGATTCCTGGCAACATTTTAGAAATTTCAAATACTTATCTTTTCCATTCTATTCTGGGCCAAACCTGAGGCTGTTGCAATCTATTTTCTTGGAAAATAGGTGGAGAGGGAGGGAGGGAGGGAGGGAGGGAAGGAAGGAAGGAAGGAAGGAAGGAAGGAAGGAAGGAAGGAAGGAAGGAAGGAAGGAAGGAAGGGAGGGAGGGAGGGAGGGAGGGAGGAAAAAAAATGCAGGCATATTTTCATCTATGCAAAAGCTGTCAACAGCTGAGGTGTTATGAAATTCCTGTATATGGCAGACTGAAGCCAAGACCTAGCATTGGCTAGCTCAAAGAATGAACTAGGACTTTGGTCTTTGTTATTCTTCATCATAAAATTCCTGAATAATTAAGTCACAGTTTTTTATGTAAGATTGTATGTGTTTTCAGTTAATATTATTTTTTTTTGTCTCTTTGGCACTTAGTTCCTACTGATGAAACAACAATAATTGCTTTTGGAAGGATATTTAACAGCATGCATGTCAAAGTTATAAACTCCAGATGTGGAGTATTACATGTTTTGAACCCATATCCTTTGTAGATTATCTTTTATTTAAATGGGTACAGTGTGTGTGTGCATGTAGTATACACAGTGCAACCAGTATTTCTCAGAAGACCTTTTATTTATTGACTTGTTTATTTACAGAATCAATCTGCAACTATTAAGAGCAGGTAGTTTTCCACACAGCTAATTCAGTCATTCAGCCACATAGTTCATTCACACTTTCACACTGTTACCCAGGGGGAATAAAAGCTTGGAACTCAACCCCAAGTTGACACTCAGAACCAGAGGATCATATTGGCATATGCATGGATATAAGTTTGGTTTCACATACTGTAGAATATAGGAATATGGAAGATCTGCTACGGTATAACTTTGAATGATCCTGCCCTCTTCTGGCAAAAGCTGTCAGCTTCATGGCTGAGTCCTAACCTCTATAGTCACAGTATATCTGTGTGGTTTTCATAAATATCAGCTGTGTGGACTGACTTGGAGGATGGCATCAGAGGTCTCTTCCAGTATTGAATTTACATTAATGTGACGCCCATCTACAAGAAGGGCCGGAGGGCAGACCCGGGGAACTACAGGCCGGTCAGTTTGACCTCAGTACCAGGGAAGCTCATGGAGCAGATCCTCTTGGGAGTCATCATGCGGCACTTGAAGGGCAAGCAGGCGATCAGGCCCAGTCAGCATGGGTTTATGGAAGGCAGGTCCTGCTTGACGAACCTGATCTCCTTCTACGACAAAGTGACGCGCTGGGTGGATGAGGGAAAGGCTGTGGATGTGGTCTACCTTGACTTCAGCAAGGCTTTTGACACCGTCTCCCACAGCATTGTCCTCAAGAAACTGGCTGCTCTTGGCTTGGACTGGCGCACGCTTTGTTGGGTTAGAAACTGGCTGGATAGCCGGGCCCAAAGAGTTGTGGTGAATGGAGCCAAGTCCAGTTGGAGGCCAGTCACTAGTGGCGTCCCCCAGGGCTCGGTGCTGGGGCCGGTCCTCTTTAACATCTTCATCAATGATCTGGATGACGGCATTGAGTGCACCCTCAGTAAGTTTGCAGATGACACCAAGCTAGGTGCGTGTGTCGATCTGCTCGAGGGTAGGAAGGCTCTGCAGGAGGATCTGGATAGGCTGCACCGATGGGCTGAGGTCAACTGTATGAAGTTCAACAAGGCCAAGTGCCGGGTCCTGCACCTGGGGCGCAATAACCCCAAGCAGAGCTACAGGCTGGGAGAGGAATGGTTGGAGAGCTGCCAGGCAGAGAAGGACCTGGGAGTGATGGTGGACAGTCGGCTGAATATGAGCCAGCAGTGTGCTCAGGTGGCCAAGAAGGCCAACGGCATCCTGGCTTGTATCAGAAACACTGTGACCAGCAGGGCTAGGGAGGTGATCGTCCCCCTGTACTCGGCTCTGGTGAGGCCGCACCTCGAGTATTGTGTTCAGTTTTGGGCCCCTCGCTACAAGAAGGACATCGAGGTGCTTGAGCGGGTCCAAAGAAGGGCGATGAAGCTGGTGAGGGGCCTGGAGAGCAAGTCCTATGAGGAGCGGCTGAAGGAGCTGGGCTTGTTCAGCCTAGAGAAGAGGAGGCTCAGGGGTGACCTTATTGCTCTGTATAAGTACATTAAAGGAGGCTGTAGCGAGGTGGGGGTTGGCCTGTTCTCCCATGTGCCTGGTGACAGGACGAGGGGGAATAGGCTAAAGTTACGCCAGGGGAGTTTTAGGTTAGATGTTAGGAAGAATTTCTTTACTGAAAGGGTTGTTAGGCACTGGAACGGGCTGCCCAGAGAGGTGGTGGAGTCACCATCCCTGGAAGTCTTCAAAAGACATTTAGATGTAGAACTTAGGGATATGGTTTAGTGGGTACTGTTAGTGTTAGGTTAGAGGTTGGACTCGATGATCTTGAGGTCTCTTCCAACCTAGAGATTCTGTGATTCTGTGATTCTGTGATACCCATCCCAAACTGATTAGCAACTGACCAGTAGGAGTAAAGGGAAACAGGGCTCACAGGGTGACAGCCTGTTTGACTTGTACATAGATAGATTCCTGAAATATCATTCAAAGACAGTGAGAGGCTTGGTGACAGCTCACAGTTAAGCACCCCAGCTCTATCTCTTCTGTATTCAAAAGGAGTGTATCCAGTGCTTGTTTTCTATATTCCATGGATGACAGTCTTACAGTCTCAGCTCTTCTGGCCACAAACCTCTAGCTGACTGTGGGCACAACCATTGCAATGGCAAGGGCACCCAAAAAGTCACAAACCTGCTTTTCTTCATGGGTGAGGACGTGCAAGGAGACAAGCATCAGTTCATCCATGAAATGTCCCCAACACTGCCTCTGCAGCTGTTGTATGAGGTCTTCCACTCACCCCCACAACACGGTGTAGCATGTGCTGTCCAGACTTGGAGCAGAGGGGTAAGATGGGCTACAGACTCTACAGCAACTCAGACATGGTGTGAGAACAGACAGGAGTAAGGGTCTGCAATGTGCAGTGACTGTGATGGGGAAGTGGCATCTTAACATCATTTGTGTAAGACACAGAAAGATAGTGTGGTGATTTTTAGAAGGCCCTATAGACGCAGATGGGTTTATGTGTTACTTTCCCTGCAGAAAGTTTGAAACCATATACCAACAGGATGCATTTAGCCCTGTGCCATACTGTAAATTCAGACTATATATCTAATTCAAAGAAAGGCCCCCTAGACTGGAGGCAATGTAGATGAGAGTAGTCTCAGCTCCAGCTCTTTCAGTCTCCTGACCTTCTCCTATTACATGCATTACTTGCTAATATAGAAGTTGTTATGTAGAGTGTTTTGGCAACAGGAGTGCCTGAGAAATGGAAGAACTATGGAATTCCACTCTAGCATGTAAGAAGGCCTGCAGCTCGACTTCTAAGGGGTATAGTTCTGTTAAACAAAAAGAGAAAAAAAAAAAAAACAGAGAGGTCTGTAAATATGATGCTGTTTCAGTAAAAAACAACCAAACAACCAAACAAAAAACTTTGAAGTGTGGCAGTCTAGATTTTCACTTCAGCTTTTTTGTTTGTACAGTGGGATAATTAGACTTATAATGACGTGCTTTGTGCAAAGAAAAATGAAAAAGAAACTGTGAATGGCTAATGAATGGAAACATAAATGAAAAAAATCATTTTGTCTGATTTTGGATAAAGTTGACCGGTCCATTTTAAGTGTCATATTTCACAGTATTAAATTTTATAGCTGTTTCTTACCTTAATAGGATGTGAAATGTGGAAACTGTTGATCATTACTGAAAATAACTAATTAAAACATGAATGTATCTGAGACAGCACAACTAAGAAATCAAGGA